AATGTTTGTAAAATCAAATAATAATATTATGTTTCAAATATAATCTTAATAATTTCATTGAGCCAATATTTACTAAAGATACTGAAGATTCTACAGGAACTCTTATGAATAGAGAAAAAAATGAATAAAAGATTTAATATTTTATGACATTGCTTCACGTATGCAGACGAAAGAAATACGGGTTTCAAACCAGTATTTACATAATAATTACCGCGCAGTTTACGTAACGTTTAATGACTAGACTATCCTGAATTAGAATGTGATAAATTAGAATGATAATAAGAGAATGAATAGAATATATTAAAGTAATACCAAATGGGTATTTTCCTTTCACAATTAAAATTTAAATAAGTATTATAATTAAAATATTTAATATTCAAAACATAATAATTTAATATATAATTAATATTTTCTAAGTTACTTAGACATTTCATCGAAATAACATTTTACATAACATTTCATCTTTTAGTTTCGCTTGTTTGATGACTTTCAAAAATTTTGGACACGTTGACGTGATTGATTGTATCGCCGATCGCATAAGGATCTATTGATAGTACACTGACAATACTAATTGATGAAAGAGCCCATCACTCTCGCGATAGACGATCAATATTCTCAAGAATAGAGAATTATGTTTGTGTCGCGCGGATATATAGTACATTTCACAGATTATACCAATTAAATGTAGACAAAGCTAGTGTATAAAGGCGGTACAATACATAATAACATATTTCATAAAAGTTTATTCTGATAGGATACTTCGTCAAAATAAAATAAAAAGTCAAGATTCAAATAACTTATCATACGTTTTGATATTAGTCAGTCCTGCTTTTTTAATTTAATTTAATTTGTAAATCATTCCGCTTTCTATAGTTACGTAAGTTTGTTACATTCATGCAATATTAATAATTATTGTGATGATCTCGCAAGCCGAAAATGGTGAAGTACAGAATACGACGGATTAATTAAATTATTGAAGTGCAGATTATCCGCGCCGGTTTATTATCGCGATTGAACTACAAGAGAAAATGTCTTTCTCGTTACAAATGTTCGATTTTAACACGCCACACACACAATGTATTTATAAACTGAATTACTGCTGAATGTCAGATTGGATTAATTGTGAAGTTAATAAATAGAGAAATCCAAGATTTTATACTCTTTAATTTTAGTTCAACCGGATTGCAATAAACACAAGTGGTCTAAGTGGTCGAGCAAAAATCATGTTAGAGTACGATTTAAAAAGAATCCTTACAAGTTCCACGAAAATAACTTCGTGAAAACAGCGATCAGAAGAAAAGTAATGTCCATTTTTACACTAAGAGAAAAGTTAAATTTAAAAGGTTCAGAAAAGTTCAAGTTTAGATATAATTTAATGTTTGCCTCTAAAAAAATGACTATAAAAATTACAGTTAAATTATAATAATTGTAATCATCATAACTTTTGCGTTGCCAACTATATATATATATATTTGTTGATAGAAATATACGTATTATTATTATTATTATTATTATTATTAATGTTATAAATAAGCAATAATAATCTTAATTATGATAACATATAATTACGGTCACAGATATCAAAAACTTTTCTCTCAATATACCAATGAAATTAATTAAAATCTCTGTTTAACTCACTTATCTTTTTTTAGTTTTAAAAATTAGAAAAAATTAGAAATAAAGCATAAATTAAGTCAAAGTTAATTTACACTGGTGAAATTGGACCAAGAATAAACGATCTTATAAATGTAACTTACAATATATAATCTACGAGTTCAAAACTTGGAAATTTTTTGTCCGATTGTTCTTTTGTAGAATGTAAAACTTTCGTTCTGAAGAAATGCGATAGTTTCTAATTACTAGACACGAAGAATTTCTAAAGTAACATCGAAATTATATACGGAAGATGTTCAGGTCAGCCACTACAAATCGTGCCACGGAATACTGATTCATTCTGTGAGGCTTCTTAAGAATTACTATATTTTGTTTACATAGAAACACATAATGTACAATCTAAATGAAGGTAAATCTGCTGCTGCTTATCAAAATCAGGTCACGTTAAAATACATGCGCTAATGTTGCATGTATGTGTTTCCATATTAATAATTTTCCCGTTAAAAACACTTTACACTTTTTTACGCTTACGACAACACGTGACCTGAATAGAGACCGTTCGATGAAAAAACGTTAACGGAGTGTCTATTAAATTCTCGCGTTCGGAATCAGGATGTGACAATTTGTGCGCGATTATATATTTACTATAACGAGCAATTTTGTCCCACAATCGTGCTGGTTTGAAAAAAAAAACCGATTTTATCGCCGCAAAAGCGGAAGAGAATCAACGGAAGAGGGACCACGAGGGGAAAGATTTCACGCTACATCGCCATTATTAATAACCTCGTGCGCAGCCAACGATGAAACCACCATGCACTACTTTACGGATTGTTTCCGTCTAGGCGATCATCCACGTCCGTCTGGCTTGAATATGCGTTACGCGTCATACTTAATCTCGCGACCCGCAGCTGCGACCGATTGTTAATGCTTGATGACGATATCAACAAATTTACTTCGGAACTGATAAAATTTTCGCAAAACAGAGTGATAAGAGTATCACGAACATAAATTAGCAAGTAAACCATTTTCCAGAATTTATCAGAATTAAAAAAGAAACAAACATTTTAAGTGGCGTTTATATGGTGCTATTTCTAATATTAAAAATTAACATCGCTGTCTGCCACTTGTACGACTTAATGTATATTTAAATGTAGCAAAGGATTCATAATTATACAAAATAGAAACTAATGTAAAAAACATATTCAGCAAATACTGACAGTATTTAATTAGTATTTATAAAGTGATATTTCTTTTCTCACACGGATATTATTTTATAAAGAATATAAGAATCATGAGAAGTAAAACATCAATAAAAAATGACATTCTTTATTTTGCTGTTAAAATAAAATTAATTATTATCGACGAAGATTATTCATCTTTCTTTATTCCTTTTTTTTTGCAATGTTAGAAATCTATACACATATAATCTTTTATGCGTGAAAGAACTAAGGTTACATTAGCCCGTCAATTGATTACAGCTATGTTTAAAATGTCGAAATGATTATCATGTGACAGCTATAAGCACAAATAATAAACCAATGTAAATCCTAAACTTTTATGTTTTTACACGGTTAAATTGCAAAATCTCTCATAAATAAATTATAACGTCGTGAAATGATGAATGTGCAAAATTTTGATTATATCGATGTGCGTTTGGAGCTGCAAGATTGAATAAATATTTTTAAACTGCAGTGCCGTATGGATTTATACGTAAATCTTTCATTCATTGATAAAGACATCGGCTGACACGAACGCCATCGACCTCGTTCAACGTTGACCATGAATTTGTAAAATCGATCAGTCTGCTGTAAATTAATAATAAGAAGCTTGCAAATTGATAACGACTAAATGGGAACGTTATAATTCTTCACCGATTGAGTCAGTTAGAAAGTTAGTTTACTCAGAATCGACGACAAACGCGTTGATGAAGAGAGAATCTAATGATAAGTCTTTCAGAGAAACGTTATGATATACTTCCGCCCGATATCAGCGAGATCGTTCCAATTAATCCGGTCAAACAAATCGCAAATTCATTAATTTCCTCGAAGCACAGCATTTAAATTCTGTACGAAAAAACGAGGGGGGGTAATTTAATGTTGATTTACAACGTTACTCATAGATATTGGATTAATATTTCATTATTTTCGTACACTGAAAAAAAAGTTTCATTACATTAATTGAAATTCTGATTGAAAATGAATAAATCAGAATTTTCTAGTAAAATCTATTATAATTTTTGTTATGTAAGATAACAGAATTCTAATTGATATATGATCGTTCATTCATTTTCAATCAGAAATTTTTCTCAACATACAATAAATTTTTCAAATATATTAATTGACTACAAAAAATAGAAACGTTCTCGAATCTTGAGATTTTTTATCTTGTTGTCAATTAATACATTTGGTATACAACATTGAAAAAAATACTACAAAAAATATCTATATAAAATATTTAAATAATTCTAAATATTTACTAAATGTGAACATACACTTATTTAACCATCATTAATTTGATTTAATTATTATTTTTTTATTAAGTAAATATTTATTTACTAGAAATAAATGTTTAGTTAGTTACTGTGTAATACTTTTCAGAATAAATGAAATATTAGCAGCTATCTTTAGCAGCTGTATTACATTTGTCGAAAAATTATTCAAGTCTGTTGATTAGATATCCGAGAATTTATCTATTCAATTAATCAAATAGTTGACATGGTTGAAACATTTGTAATAAATGAAATATTAGCCTAAAGACATTACATCTCCAGACGATATGATCAACATATGCCGACATTAGCAAATATCATACAGAATAAATATGACATTTATCCATATTAGTTTAATGTAGTCAATGTTTAGCGAATGTGTGTGCAGAATTGGTCTATATCTGGAGACGCTTTACAGTGCGTCGACAAAGAACGCACGATAAATTCCAAATTCCTGACACCCACAGGTGGGCGATTACTCGTAACAAGCACCAACAATATAAACATTCTCACCTAACGAGTTTCGTGACAAAACGACTGCAGTTCCTCTTCGCCACTTTCCTGCTCACCGAGATCACTTCCAGCCGGCTGTCGTACGCTTTTCCCACCACGCGATCGCGGGAGAGGAAATTATCACTACGCACGATTCAAGAGTGTCGGTATGAAGAATGATGTGAGTGTCCGCGTTATATATAGGTGTGAATGTGTATGCGCGCGTACCGTCTGTTCTTCTCTGCGTCGCACTTCTCCACCAAGTCTCACTCGCGAGTGTGCCGTGTACGTGGCGTCGAGGTATAAAGGATAGGGTTTGCGTGTTGCATAAAAGCGAGAAGAAGAGATCGGAAGGTGGGCTTCGAAACGATCGACGAATGACTGAATTCGCGCCGCGCCGACACTCCGCGACACACGTCAAGCATTTCGACCACCTTTGATCTTTGGTCATGGACCGACCCGCGCGTGGACCTTGGGATTTCGCCACGCGATGATCAGAGGTGGAAGTGACGTGCGCACGAGGCGCCGGGACAGCTGTTCGCGAACCCGGGACTCGGGACGAGTCGGAGAAACGGGGGAAACCCAGCGAATGAATCCGACACGCGTTCTGCTTTCCCAAGTCTACGCGAGCTCGGATGAGCTCTCGAAAGGCTGTTGATAATGAGATTCGAAGCGATCTCGAGGACGAATACTTGCTTGAATCATATCGTAATTGAGTCTTTTGCCGGCGAATTTTCAAGAGTTAATTCTAAAGGAAACCTTGTGACCTTCAGCAAAATAATCCTTGACTAGAGCATTAAATAATTTCTAATATATTGAATTTGAACAAAATTGAATTAAACTCAAAGCTCGGTTCTCGCAAAGCAATAAAATATAAGTTAAGGGTCAAAATGAACATAAAAGGGAGATGTTTCAAAAATCTATTTTAAAAAGAAATAAAATGTAGTAAATATTAAACCAACATCTTCCATTTATATTCGTTTTGACTTTTAACTATGTTTTATTGCTATTAAAATTGCTAATTAGATATTACGTTAAAACATTTTCGAAGAAAATTGCTAATCTTTTTCCTAAAATTAATCATTTACGCTTGAAGATTGGCGAGGAAAGAATACAAAATTTTTGATAAAAAATAATAACCGCTATGTAAGATTATCGCGATTAGCAATTCTACATTTCATATAATGAACTTTGCATTTCCATCATTATTATCGAACATGTGGCACTTATTAATCGGGTCAAGTGAGGAACTGTAATCGAAAGACAGTCAAATAATCGATGTGCCAATTTACATGTAATATCACGGCCAACCAGGTCGGCGCCTGAATGTCCTCACAGTCAGAGCGCATTAATCTGGCTTCCGCGTCCCAAATGATCTAGAGAATTTAGAGTCAAGTCCGACTGAGAATAATATCACACCAATAATACTGCGCCACGTTAAAAGCCAGAGAAACGCGTAATGCGAGATCCGCTTACTCACGCTGCAACATCATCAGCCTCTGGGTATATAGAACGAGGAAGAAACGCAGTTTCTTTTGTGATGGACAAAAGATTCTAGAAAGTACATTCTAAGGGAAACTCGTGACTCACATCTAAAACCTGTCTTTTTAGCTAAACTTCTGGCACGTTTATCTCTTCTCTTTTTCTTCTCACATTGGAGAAAAAAAAAGAGAAGAGATAAACAAGCTCAGTTCGAAAGAAGAAACAAACCTCTAGAATATTTTAGAATCTCTAGATAATCCCCGACTAGCGGCTAAGTAAATTCTAATATATTACAAAATTGTTAATTAGATGACAAGATCGTTTAAAAAAATTTACATTCCGAGGAAAATTTGCTTTAAATTTTACTAATTTAAAACATTTAAAATAGCATTTAATTTTGGAGCGTTTATTTTTCTTATTTATGTTGGTTTATTTATTGTTTTATTATGTTTATTTATTATTTACATGAAGCTTCTTATTATCTCTAATTATCTGCCAAACGTTTGGAGCACAGTTCAAATTATAACGACTAATTAGTATTTAATTTTCATCGCGTTAGTATTTACCGCTGATTTGATGAAAATCTAATGAAGAATTAGTGAAACATTATGAATAAATCGCATTATCAGCGCTCACTCAAGTTTCCATAACATATCATTATTTGTATTACTCAGCTGTATCGAGGTCAATACTTGTACATATTCGATCAGCTGTAATTTCTCAATCAATTTTTCAACATAACTTTCTCAATATTCATCAACAGAGTGTTCAAATTTCAATTATAATTACATAACAAAATGAAATATCAGAGAATATTTTCAGCGAATAATAAACAATATAAATAAATTATATAAAATTTTATTGTGCGTTATTTGTGAAATTATATGTAAAAAAAACCCTTGTATTTAAAAATCAAAAACAATCAATTTACCGTCAAATAATCTAACCACATCTGCTTATTAAGATTAATGTTAAAATAAACCAATCAAGTATTTCTTCCCCGATCACCCAGTATATTGATAGCATCTCGGAAGTGTCGCTTACATTCTTAGGTCGTGGATCTCGCACGACGAAGAGCTCCGCTCTCGCGGAATTTCCACGTCACGTGCCGGAAGAGCACACCCGCAACCTCCGGGTTTCCGCAGACGCGATCTATCCTCAATGACACTCGATCCACGACGCCATCGCATCGCCGATTCACCGGATCTCCCACCCGACGACCGACGACGTTCTTTTCCGCGCGCGAATACCCTGTTGAATCGCACGCGTACCGCGCAACCGGCTTCAGGTACCCGTACGCACTGACGGCGTTGCTGAACACGAACCGACGTTGAGTGATCAACGCCGCGGCCATCTTGCAGCCTGAAACTAGCGGAATCGATGGGACGCTGCGAGCGTCTCCTGTCGGCATGGCGTGGCTTGGCTTGGCTTGGGTTTCTCGGTCAGGTGTTTTTCCTTTTAGACGGTTCTTTAATGGTTCAAAAATAAAAGACCCTGAAGATTAATCGTGTAACTTGTTTTTTTCTAGAGCGGAAACGTAAAGTGAAATCATTTTTTTTTATATATGTATATAAAAATTTGTACTTTTCATTTGTATGTTTCCATTGAAAATGAATCCAAATAGATTTCGTCTTTTATTTTAATCTAGGATATCATGTAATTTTTTTTCTACATGAAAAGTGAACTTTGTGTGTGTGTGTGTGTGTGTGTGTGTGTGTGCGCGCGCGCGCGCCCACGCGTGCGTGCGTGCGTGGCGTGTGGTGCGCGCGCGCGCGCGCGCGCGTATACCATCATAAAAATTTTCATCTTTCTACTTTAAAAAGAAAAGTTGTATGATTAATATTCTAAACTAAGGCAGATCTTATTTCAACCGTCTTAAATAATATCTTAAGGTGCTAAGGCGACTTTGTAATTAGCTTATAACATCTTAAAACTGCACTTAAAACAGTCTTAAATATAAGAACTGATTATAAATGCTGGCTTAAAAGATTAAAATAAAAAAATCTTAGACTAAAAGACGAAGCCTAATTAGATTTGTTTTACAATCTCGAGTTTCCAAACAACGTTCTCCTTTGTAATACGAATAGATTCGCCTCACTTTAAATTCTTTTCTGTAAAACAGTTAATTCAAATATTCGGTTTTCGATTTTTGTTGTCTTATCCTTGATTTTACTTTACAAGTGAACGCGTAAACATTCGGCGCGTTTGGTTTTCACTAAACAATATATAAATATGATACATTGCGAAATCACTATGAAATATTCGTAAACGATAACATACATCCGATAACATACTTGCCAAACACAAACCGAGATTGAAAAACACTGTCGAAAGTACGTGCTAATAAATAAACAAACGTTCTTTTCGGGAATTTCGCGGATCTCTTTGGAGGATTTAAATCTTTGATAATCAAAGTCACATTGAAAAATTGTATATCGTTGAAAAAAGAGAGTAAAACAATTCTGTTTTCTCGCGTGTACTTTTATACTCAAAATTCTCTTTTTGTCGTCTTACTATCCATTTCTTCCAATATCGATTAAATTGCGAATGATTTTTGCTCTGCTCATTCCAACTTTT